GTTCTTATCTCGTCGATTTTTTTCTCTGTTCGTCGCTAAGAAATTTCAGTCACGTCGACATTTCACGTGAGTTTTTATAATCAGGCTTTTAATCTCCGCCATCATTTACTATATAGTAAATAACTGAATTGTCAATCGATTATAATGTGAGTTTAGTTAGGCTGTTCGCATTCACTAATACAAAATCGTGAAGATAAGCTAACTATAAGAAGCTTATATTTTTTGATAAGGGCTTTAAAAAGGGTGTACTATAAAGATTATAAAGTAGAGAAATTTTATGAATTATAAAAATTGTTTATAAAAATTATTATTGTATGATTACTAATAAATGTGAATAAATGTGAATATAGCTTTTGTCGTATAATGTGAATCGACTTTTATTCGAGAAATTTTGTGTTCGATGATATACATAATAAATTTATGTTATAAGAAGGAAAGAGAGAGGAGAGATTCCCGTTTGGTGGTCTGAAAAATGCATTTGCGGGCGATAAAAATACGCTTATCAAAACGGAATTGCATTTGGATGCTGCTATACCTATGCATTGCGCCTATTCGATGTCACAGTAATTTATTGCAGTCGAAATGATGAAATTTATTCGCTGCATTCGTGAACTGGTGTCTGCTCTGACAACGTTGAAAAATGTTTTGGATGTTTGATAGGTACCTATACTGTAGAAAACGCTCGATGTCCATTCTCAAATGACATTCCATCTGACAAAAATAAAACGCGGAATCGACATATTTCTGCGTAATGTTAAATAACGTATAATAAAAACATTTATTTATCTGTTTATATTTTTCTATTTGGAAAGTCGAGCAGAAGCTATAAAACAAAACATTTGTAATAAATTTTTCGAGCCAAATAATCATAATAATAACTAGAGTAACTATTAGTTTCTAAAATTGATGATTTAATTTAAGTAAGTTTAATAAAATGTAATTTACCGATGTAAATCAAAATATCAATTTTTTATAAAATTATTTTGTAATGATTTTTCTGTTAAATAATCTATTTTTTGGTAAAGCTTATATATCTCATCTCTATTTCGTTATTCATGACGTCCATCGTTATTTTTTTCATTGCTGATAAAAAGTTGCGCGGTGCGTATTTCGGAGTTGGTGAATTTCTAGCGAGATTATAAGGAATCGATTTTATGAGAGGCTGTTATACAGATGGACGTGACAATTTCTCGACGGTAACGCCGTGAAATTTCATATTTTTCGCGCTCGTGATTGCATCCTTTTTTATCCAGTTTTTCTTCCTCTCCAATCTTCTGCAGCTTCTATTCTTGCTTGGCAATTATCACCTTCTCTCGAGCGAAAACACTCGAGTGACAAGCAAATAAATAATTTTAGTTTGATCAGGTATCATATACTCTGCCATTGCACGCATCAAATGTTTCAATTGCATAGCTGAAACAATTTTGTTACATTTGTTACAAATATTCAGAAGGACAACACTTGTCGTGTCATGCAAGGAACATTTATTGCAACATTTAGCGATAAAATAGAGATGAGAATATACAAGCCAATGTTTCGGCAAATTTAAGATTCCCGCAAAGTCTGCAAAAGTCTTTCCGATTTTCCTGCATCGGCTCCATCAATTTCTCAACTGTCACTTGCAAAAGATAAATTTATCTTAAAGAAGACCGATCGCTGCGCGATTTTCTTGCGCGGAAAACGAATCCTGCCACATAACTAATACTCGTTATCATTTCACTCTTAATCACAAGTAATCGTGCAATGTGCAGCTTATTTTATGCAGGTATTTTAGTTCCGCGCGACCCGTAATAGCTTGATTAAATCTGATTTACTTAATCCGGTCGCGCTAAATTACTTTGATTTTAAAGCCGACCGATTGCGCGAGAGGAGGAAATTATTTCAGCGCGCTTCTTTTCGAACCTCGCGCGTTTACTTACTTACAAACACTTAGTTGAGTTTTCTTTGCTTGTCGAACAGAGAAAGCGTAGTCAGATTATAAACACACCGTGAAACAAATATTAAAACTTTGCTGCAGTTTAGCGCGGTTCACTTTTGAAGGCGATTACGGAAGTATAACCGCAGCAACTGCCACTTCGCTTGCACTTTCCTCGCTATATATTTTCGAGAAGAATTAGACGAAAGTTTAGTTCTTGAAGTTAAATGCGTCGATGTATACGTGCAGTTATTATACCGAGATGCAGTTTAACTGGTTTCAACATTGACAAAATATTTTTTCTATACACCGTAAAAATATATGACATGCATTTTATTATTCAAATACATAGATTTGTAAAGGGAGCTTAAAAAATATCAAATATATCTTTTCTTTATAAATATTGATACAGAATTTAAAAGATTGAAAATTTCTTTATATAAAAGCAATTGAAATAATAAATACTAATCATCGCGTCAAAAAGTAATGTAAAAAATTTTATAATATTTAATGCAGTTTATAATCGTGCTTTTACTTAGATTCTTATTAGAGATTTATATTTTTTTATATATTTTATATATATATATAATATATAAATATATATATATATATATATATTTAATATTTTATGCTATACAATTTTGTAAATAAAAAGTACAGAATTACATGAAGTATAGCGTTTGTAATTTTTATTATAGTGTACTTATTTACTGTACAACATAAGTGATGTAAATTTTCTTGCATCATGTTTGTCTATGATAAAATTTTTTATTACAAAGTTATAATTGTAGAAACAGACAAATAGATATAAAAAGTTTTGTTTAATTTTTGTCTAAATTTTCATTGAGTTGTGTGAAATATAGAAAGAAAAATTTTTATTTTACAATTTTTAATTTTTTTGTACATTGCATAAATCTTTATTTACTTGAAATTATATATCTTTTATTTTATCATAGCTCTGCAACAATATTTGTAGTACAATAAAAATTTTTTATTTAATTTTCGTTATGTATAGCTTTGTTATATATTTCTCTGCAAAACCGATTCTAATTAATATTCAATAAAACCTGTATTATATCATCTAATCAGAAAACAAAATAATTTTAAGGAAGAATTAATATTTTATGTGATCTAATTGAGCAAATGATTAGATAATTTAATAAATAAATGTTCAAATAATAATGGGTATATTTCATTTAATTACATTCAATTTGTTTCAACGGTGCTTTTTGCAAAAGCAATTAACATTAAACATATAAATGCATTAATGAACAATGAAATATTTCAACAATTTATTAGCATTATCATTTACATTCGTAAATACATAAAATGCAATAGTAAATATAATTTGTCTAATCGTATCACATGCGCCTTTATATTACTTGTTGTTTTAAGTGCTTATTAACACAGTTGAGCATTATATCATATTGTTAAGTCGCATTTTCGTCAAATGGGATACGATTTACCTTCATTTTATTTCTCTGCTCTTCTTACGTCGGAAGCAATTGGAGCAGACATATTTTATGGTATTGCACGGAGCTTTTCTTGCTTCGCTCGAGTTTCTCTTTTTGATGCATATGCATCGTGATACTCGTAGACGTACGTAATAGGGACGACGTAACATGAATGTCCTGCGAAAGAAAATCCGCTTTCAACAATGACAAGTGAAATAGACGAGTAAGACGTTCGGAAAATCTCTTGGATTCCGCTCTAACGTTTTTTGACGATAGTTTCTTACTTTGAACTATAATATCGTTACAATATTTTATATCATAATGTTTCCTACATAGAGAAATAATATAATCTGCGTTCCAAGATAATTCCAGCAAAATAGAAATGAACGGAATAAGTATTAGAATTTTTTTATTCCTAATTATATTTTTTTATTATTTTTTTAAATATTTTAAAAATAATATTATTTTATTATCAGTGAATAATATTTTATATGCATGGACTGATTTATATATATATATATATATATATATATATATATATATATATATATAAGTATCTGTGTGTGTGTATGTATATATGTATGTAATACAATGTTTATTTCTATAGATATTGTTTATCTCATATCGCTTTATTAATTAGTTTATCATAAATATGCAATGATACGCGTATCCTAACACTATCATGACATTATCATAATATCATATTTCATTAATAATTATCTAACAAATATATGTGTAAGCCACGCGAATACGCGATAAAACGATATTTCGTTCTATATATTTACTAATGATAAACAAAACGTAATGCTCTGTAACATTAACTGCATTAATTAAATTAATTTATGAGAAATAAAACAATATAGATATAAAAAATTATTACTCAATTTTCATATATTATTGTATATTGTTACATTATATGGAAAAAATTATTCAAAACATCTAAAAGAAAAATTTTTATATAATTAAATAATTAAACTGTTTACTGAAATAATTATATATAAATATAATATCGATAATTTTTATATAATATCAATTTATTATAACTTTTAGCAAACTCCTTGAGTTCCTTCTTAGCGATCTTTCCCGTAACCGTGCGAGGAAGCCGTAACATGAATTTAACTCCCGTATGCAATCTACAATACCACGGCATGTTCTGCTCCACCAAGTCGGTTATGTCGAGCTCCGTCGCCTGGAATTTACGTGAGAAATTGTAATGTAACGTATGTAGGGCAAGATGGTTAAACTCTTAGGACTTGCAGTAAATTGAAGTTGTGTGCGCAAAAATAGGTCAATTCTCTTTTTGGTGAAAGTCAATAAATATAGAAGATTTATATAAACTAGTTTTCTCTTTGAGGAAAAATTTAGGCCACATGAGTTACTTTGGGTATTTTTATTCAGTACTTTTTAAAAAAATATGAAAATATTCAATAAACATGCTATTATGTCATCGGTTTAGAGAATATCGATAATAGAGAAAAAATTTATAGAAGTATAGAAAAATAAGTTTTTGAAAATAATTTATAATATATGTATATGTATGAAAAAAAGAAAAATAAAAATATTTTTTTTAAAGATTTGAGATGATTGGATAAAGATAGACACATCTATCACGTATTTATATTATGCAATAATTACAAACTTTCGTTTATTGGAATATTACCTTTTATTTGATCTGATAATTTTGACAGAAGCATGGCGTGTTCCTTGTCGATAGGGTGCGGCATCGCCATTACGGCGACTTCGAGAACCACGAAATGTTGCTGAATCAAAACTTCGATTTCCGCAGGCGATATTTTGATAGAATTATATAATTGAGCTCCGGCATTCTATCGACGAGAAATATTTCGCCATAGTCATCATAATAACCGAGATCGCCTGTATCCACTTCAAAATTAAAACAAGTTATGTATACTAAAAATTTGCAGTTTTTTAATTTATATAAACATGCGAAACATTTTATTAATAATTAAAATTATTTGCACTATTTCTAATTGTTGAGTATGGAGCAAATATATGTTAGAGCAAAAATATGTTCTCTCTGGGACGTTGTATATTTTCGAATTAAAGTTTTCGCATCTGCTCTAAACAATGACGTATCGAACCATTTCATGCTTACCGTCCGAATCGATAACGTTCTTCGTAGACTCAGGGTTGTTGTAGTATCCATTCATCATGTACGACGATTTGGCCCATATTTCTTCAGTTTTGTTAGCCCCCAAGATTCTTCCTGTGTTAGGATCTACCACCTTCAACCGTTCTGTTTCGCACACAAATCCGCAGCTGCCCGGTTTACGGTGTATTTCGTCTGACAGGCGCATAATCCACCGTAATCCGTCATTCCTGCGGGCAGTTTGTGCAAAAATCGTTTTTCTTTCGCATCGCATGTGTTCATCGTATGTATTTTAAGTAAAGCGTTGTTTGCGCTATCACACTTGTACGAAATGACGAGATTGCAATAACGATTTATTACCTGTCGGCCGTATGACAAAATCCATACAACTCACTGTAGCTCGATATGACATTAGTGTGCGACAAAAGTTTCACCAGAGATTGTTGCAGTTCTCTCCGAAAATGTGCGCCGTCAAACAAAAGGATTTTCAATGTCGGTGCTTGCTTAATACGTCGAACTTTACCAGTCGGTAGGGGAAGCAGGAATCGTATCTAAACCAGGATACCTGAATGCAAAACGACGTCCGTTAAACTCGGACGTTCCCGCACAGTGTTACCTGTACGAGGCAATAAATCATTCGGTATAACTATCACGCTCAGTTGTAGATGTACCTCAATTCGGACACACCGTGTTATCCTTTAGCAAATTCGCCACGCGACATAAATTAACACAAATTAACGCGAACGCGCGAGTGTAATGTCGCGTGAAATAATATCCTCCATAGGCAAGAATATCCTCAAATGGAAATAATAACGCGAACAGATGTTGTGTGCGAGAAGTGCATGATAAATCACGTGATTTCGCCAAATTTTATCTCGTAAATTTGCATAAATGTGCAATTAATTTATAAGGTATTATACATATATTATTATACATGTGTAAACAAATCCGTGTTTATTGCTAAAAAAATGTGTTAATTAACGTTAAAAGTTTTGAAAATTCTTTTAAATAACTGGTCTATTTCTATTGCTCGCTAAAATAAAACGTTGTCATATCTTATGATCACTTATTAATTATTGTACGTAGGAATGATTCTGATTTGCCGTTAATATGCAATTATACGATTGTATGCTAATCTACCTTACTTGTTTCTCGATAAAGTGGCGCAGCTCGTCGTTGTCATCGTAATCCGGATCGATAATCCTCTTGGAGCAATCTAGAATAGCTTTAATGATAATGAACAGACCGCAATATCAATCGAAAGCGTCCACATGAATACATGTCTCCTGAGATCGTGAATTTTCACGTGAGTCATGTAATTGATCATGGAGGCATGACTGATCTTGATGCCTTTCGGAAAACCGTTGATGCCGGATGAGCAAACGATTCTAGCAATCTGATCGGGACTAGTCAGCTTCGAGTACCCGAACTCGTTGATTTCCGTCATATCTTGGGAACGTAGGACGCGCTCTCGAATCCCGCCAGCTTGGTGACCAGATTAGGGCTAATGATTTAGTTCGAAGACTTCGACATTCGAACTTCGAAGTTTCGAAGATTCGAAGCTTCGGTACTAAAATTTTCGAAGATCGTAATTTCGAAGCTTCGAAGATTTATCTTACCGCGAATATATATATACATAAGTATATATATATATATATATATATATATATATATACATAAATATATGTACAATTATAAGATTATATGATAAAATCTGAATAAAACATTGCAATTATGTTGTTAAATTGAAAAATATGATTAAAAATTGTGATTTTCAATAATTTTGAATAATTGTTTAATAATTTATTTATTTAAATAATTTTTTGGTATATATATTAATTAATTTGCACTTTCATTTGCAATATTTTCAACATTTCTTATATGAATTTGCAAGAATTTTTTGTAGTTTCGAAGATTCAAAGTTACTTCGAAATTCGAAGCTTCGAAGCTTCGAAAACATCTCAAACTTTGAAGTTGTTAAAGTAACAACCCTAGTAAATATACAAATTTCAATTTGAAATTTAATTTTAATACAAATAATAAAGATATAAGACTCAAAATATAAAATTAACAAATTAGTTTCAATAGCAATACGAGTCGAGCGTCGATGTTATGACACATTTATTTATTTATTATACAATAAGAGGCATGACAAATAAAATAAACATAAAAAGGAACATGATACCATATGTTCCTTCAATATCTGAGCGTTTTAAACACATCGTTAAGGATTTGAATGTTCGACTCTCGTACTTCAGCATCAACAAAATGAAAATTATCAGGGTTCATAAGGACCCTCTTTCTGTTTCTAATTCTGTGAATGTCATATACAAATTAAATTGTATGGATTGTGATGCGTCATATGTTGAACGAATGAGTAAACAACTGCATACCAGAATCAACGAACATCGCAGTCACATTAGACGCAATACTAATACTCAGTCTGTCATCACTAACTACAGGGTCGGTTTTGATCATGCCTTTAATTGGGAGGATGTACAGATTTAGATCAGGAACCATTTTTGAGTAAGAGATTAATTTCTGAAATGCTATATATAAAAAAGCAAAAAAATGGTTTAAATTTGCAAACGAACATTGAACGTTTACCAGAAATCTATTTAAATATTATATATATAAACAATTTGTCAAAGATTTAACTTAGTTTTCTATCATAACAAATAGATCTGCGACTTTGCTTAAGTGTATATTTTTGTATATCTTTTGACTCGCTTTACCGTTTATAAATTGGTCATCTATCTGTCACATCTATCTGTCAAAGACTAGTCGTTCTTTGTCTTTGGAGATGTTGACTTGTTTCCATTTGTCTCCTCAATCTGCCATTATCTTCGATGCCTGAAAGGTATGTTTCAATTTCATGGTTTTCTTTAATTTTTATTTCTTTTTGACTCTATGTTCAGCTTATATTTATTTAAAAAATTTTTAAAAATGGACATTTAATTCTTTGCATCTTTTTAATCTTTTTAATCTTTTTAATCTTTTTACGTTAAATTTTAATATTTTTTTTATTGTATATTAGTTTACATTATCCATTTATTTTCACCTCTATTTTACATAGGCATCGTCAAGATAATGAGATACCGAGACATTTAGTATTACTTTGGACGGCATTCTATCTCATTGATTCAGATATGTAACACCTTTGTTATATTTTTACCACATCATCACATTTGCGCTGAAGATGACCCAAAAATAGGGTCGAAACGTTCGTTATTCCTTCTTTTATTTTTATGTTTATTTTATTTGTCATGCCTCTTATATTAAATAAATAAATGTGTCATAACATCGACGCTCGACTCGTATTGCTATTGAAACTAATTTGTTAATTTTAATATTTCTCTTTCTCCCCTGAAAACGTAGGCGAGAAAAAAAAGAGCTTGTCTTTCGGCAAGCGAAAGAGTAAATTGAAATAAACTTCATGTTAAAAAATTAATTAAAAATTGGCAAATGAAACCGAGTAAGGTATTCGTGTTTAATATATGTAACACATGTAACGGGCAAAGATAAAATTTTAAATATACTAATAGTTAAAAGAAAAAGAGTAATTTTTTTCCTCTTCCTTACGCTCCAATTACCATGTCTTACTGGCTCTTACTTGCCAATTTTTAATTAATTTTTTAATTTTTTATTTTAATTTTTAATTTTATGTGAAAGTGACGCATAATCATCCACATCTAGTTCTTATTGCTCGTAAAAATTCAATTTTGTGTTTTTACATATAAAACCTTATTAATCTCTTGATTACTAACATTAAATTCTTTCGAAATAATATTTTGAAAAGAGCAATAGTACCACAGTAATTGCCACAGTAACTTTCAAGTAAATTACAATTTATATAACACTATACAAGACTATACATATAAGATTTGCAAGATTGAGAATCAAAAATAAAATAAGACATATCCATGAATTATATATAATTTATATAATTTCATGACTTATTAAAAGATCAACAAAAATATATTTATAGAATTTATTCTGTAAATTAACTTCCATATGGATAAAATGATATCAACCAATATTATTTCATTTATATAAACTAACTTTTTATTTTGCATATAAAATTCTAATAACTATTATTGTCGTGTTTGTTAGCAGAATGATTTAGCACGTGTTATTTAAAAAAAATGTTTATTTTTTATTATATTTGAATATATTTTATATTGAACGCTTCATATACGTATAATACCAATTATAACAATTAATAACAATAACAATTAATAATAATTCATTTACATTGAATAACAATTCATGTATATTCATTTATGTTGAACAATTCATATATATTAAATATATAAATTATAATTCAATTTACTTATAATTTTAATACATGCAGTCAGATCTATATATTGTATGTATAATATAAAACATAATAATAATTATTTCAATAAAAGACAGAAGGAATAAAATGATGAAGAATAACGTTAAAGAGATATTAATATAACGAATGTAAAATAATATCTTATAACTCTTAGGCCCGGTTGCACCAACGTTATTTCAGCTTTAAGCGAGACTTAAATATATGTTTATCTTAATCTTTCTTTCTAAATAAATAAAGACAGACATATATTTAAGTCTCGTTTAAAGCTAAAATAACGTTTGTGCACCCGGGCCTTATTGTTGCTTTAAAAAAAGAAGAGAGCGTTTCTGATAAGTTTTAAAATCAATATTAGAAATAAATAAACATGTGCATCTTGCAATTATTATAGTTAATTATAACATATAGGGTGCGTTCGTTTACGCAGCCGCTGCCGCAGATGTCATTCATTTATTTATAGTGTACGTGATATGAACTAGATAAACAAATGACCATAAACATATATTTTCTTGTAATTGTTATTAATTATAATTGTTTTATAATTTTAACTTCTCCTTTATGTTAGATAGTTAAAATAAGTAAGTCCAACGAATTTTTACGTTCTATTATTGTGTTTTGAACATCTTCAAATACTTTCTTCTCATATTTATTTCTTATAAATTTGCTTATCTGAAAATAAATTATATTTATATTTATTAGAAATGTAATGCTGTATTATGTAATAATAACATGATACAACAACTTCAGTTAAATATTACAATATTCTATATAAAACTAATGTGCTAATAAATCAATGTAAAACATATAGAGAAATATAATTATTGATATTGTTGGAAATATATTCTCGTCTTTTATTTATTTCATTCTATCATCAAAGCTTTGAAAATACATTTATTGTATATAATTTTAACAAAACTAAAAATAATTTTCCATTTAAATTATGAAATTTTAATAACAGTAGTATTTTATCGAAAAAATTTTAAATCTATAATTTTTGATAAAAATTAAGATAAATAAATTTAAATTTAAATAAATAAAAATGTAAAATTTAAAATAATAAAATTTACCTGGTCAAGTTTTCCTTTAGAATACACATTGTCAATTATATAATTTAATGCACTACTTAAATAATATATATTATTTACATGGTATGCATTATTTACATTTCTGCAAAAAATTAAAAAGATTCTAATAAATAAATACAAAAAAAAAACAATAATGTGCTTACAATTGACATAAAAATATGTTACTAAAATACCTTGAGATTATTTTTTCCAAATTTGTTAATATATAATCGATTACTACATTATTCTTAGCATGTTTCTCGATAATAAAAGAATAAATCACATAGTAATCTTCAATTTGTATTATTGAATTGTTCGATATAGATATTTTTAGCAAATTAATTATAATGTCAGGATTTTCAGAGCATACCAAGTACATCAAAGCCTCTTCATCCGTTTCATTTATATATATATCGAATAACTTATTCCAAGTAAAAACATTTGCTTCCATCAAGCCATTACAATACACCCATTCTTTTAAATTTGGCGGGACTCTATAACACATAATAAAAAACTTATATGTATGTATAATTACATATATATATATATATATATATATATATATATATGAGTGGATATCTATATAAAATTCTAATAATTTATTTAAATAATTTATGTCATATGTATATTCATATTAATTTATTAGGACAAATTGAAACTTAATGAATAAAATAAAATTACTTGTATGTTTTAGGATCTGCGAAATGTTCATTCAGTTTAACAGTAGCCATTCTTTTGCATTCGGAATGACCCAAAGTACATGCCCATTTTAAAGCTTCGGTTCTTTGAAGTTTCTTAAGATTATCCTCGGCAGGATCTTCTTCGTATCCTATGTTCTTAATAAGTCCATCCAAAATTTTAAGTATATATAACTAGAAAAATCATAGAATAATATTAATTTTATATCAGTTTGTAATTGATGAATATTTGTCTTATGGACTAGACGCACATATACACATACATGCGTGCGCGCGCGCGCGCACGTATATTTCTTCATTTTAAGTGATTATATTACTATTTACTTTGAGAAAATCATTTTCTGGAACTTTGTATATATCTTGTGTATTTCCTAATATTTTAAACATAGAAAGCCATGGTATAACATCTGTTTCCTGCGATAGATAGTCAATAAGATTCAAAAACATTGTGATGTCATTACGGCTCATCATCAAAAAAATATAGGCATCATCGATTATTTGAGCACGATTGAGTGCATGAATTTTTGTATAATTGTCAGATTTGAGATAATTCACAATTTTTTGCCAATTTGAAGAATCGTAATTGACACGATAATATCCTATTATAAAATTAAATAAAAATAGTATATTATATTACTAAAATTTATTAAGCAATTTATTAAAAAATTAAATTAAATTAATTTAATTTATTTTATATTTTTTAATAAATTAAATTAAAATAACATGTACATATATCTCATAATTTTCTCTTATTTTAACATTTGTTACATTTAAATGAAAATTCATATTATATAAATAAAAATATGGTAAAAAGTATATAGAAAATAAACATAAAAGTAAAAATTTACAAAAAATAAATAAATATAAAAATGCTAATTGATATATTTATAAAATTAATGATTACTGATTTTAAAAATAAAAAAATCTCATAAAAAATATTTAAAAATTCAGATTAAATTAATATCGAATATATAAAAAATACTCACCCATTTGCTGTAAATTGACAATAATCCAATCATTTGGATCAATTCCATCAATCGTTATATATTGATCTTGTGGTTTTAGCCAATGAGTGGGTAAGGTATTAGAAAAATCGGGATTTGTTTGCGTAACGAAAGTCAAAGGTATCCACCATTTATTATCATTGATGTTCTTATTTTCATTTGGTGAAAGGAAATGTTCTTGCGTTATTATTACCTTATTGTTGTCACTGTTTCGAGTCACATGTACTACAGGAAAATCCGATTGTTTTATCCAAGTATCCATTACCTCTTTCAATCTATAAGCATTATGCGGAACATCTGATTTATCTAGGACTGCTTGTAAAGCGTTCCATAAGTCATCGGAAGTAGTCGAATTGAACTGGCTAAAATGTAAAACACAAAAGATAGATTTATTAAGAGAATTATAATGCAATAAGTCATTCAAGCGTAATGCAGTCAATTGTCGAATATTATACGATATTGTCGAATATTACTAAAACACTTAAAATATAATAAAGATTCATTTTTTTTTATTCTGAGAAAGGTTAGAATATAATTTTGTAAAATTCTCAGGAATTATCTGCATTATATGCTAATACTTATTTTTATCATCTCAATTTTTTTTATCATTTTAAAAGTTATTGATTTAAGTTGAATTATTATTACACTAGATGGTTTATAAAGACCTACACAAAATGATAAATAAGTTACTTACTGCGTGTGTAAATATTTAATAAGACCACTTTGAAATATCTCATCGGTAATTATATGTTGTAACATGCGCAGTATAGCAGGTGCTAGAATAATTAATAAATAAATACAAAAACTAATATATAATAAAATAAAATATATTATCATCCATAAATTTATGAACACAGCTAATAAAGGAGATTATTCGTTATGATACATTTTAACAATAAAAAATTTTTTATATTGTTTCTTTTACTTTGGATCATCTATGTTCGGGAATTTGTGGATAATGACTTATTTACTTATCTACCTTACCCTTGCCGTAAATAGGATAAGAAAAGAGTGATTCAATTTCTATGGGTCTATTGACTTCTAATGTAATTGGGTTCATAAACATACCAATATCCGAATAAAGAATTTTTCGCTCAATATCAATAACGAAGAATTCCATTATTCGCCAATCTTCAAAAATCTAAAATATACATAAATTTTAATTTTAATCATTTAAAATTAATTGAAATTAAGAAATTTAATATTATAAATTAACAATAGAATGACAGTTATTATGATATATAATAATATAAGTGTTTTTAGAGAAACTATAAATATATTTTAAACACTTAAATTATAATTATAATTATAATTATAATCTAAAATTATAAACGATACATTCCATTTCTTTATATACAGAAAATCATGAATAATTCATCTTCATGTATTATATTACATATTTGAATTTATTAGAAACATTCTTTTCGAATGCTCATCCGCATGCAAACAAAACTTGCAATGATGCACTTACTTGATTGAAAATATATACTTGGAAGAATGACGCAAATCCCTCTTTTAACCATACATCAGACCACCATAATGGAGTGACTATATTACCAAACCATTGATGCGCTATTTCATGTATTATTGCTACCGCTACATATAATTTCATAGATATTGTATCGAAACTTTCGTTGTATGCAAGATATCTTTCACTAAAAATTATTATATAAATGTTTTCATTAAAAATTATATAAATTATTATATAAATATAAGTTATGTCCATTTCAATGTATTTTATAATTATGTAATCTAACATAAAACATTTTACTTTAAATAATTATGTATAAATGTAAAAGTTCATATATAATTATTTAAAAAATTTTTGTATTTTATAAACGTATATATATAATTTACATTTTAAAATTATATCTCTTTCAACTTTTGTATAGTTTAAAATATAATTCAATTATATTTTTATTCTTTCTTGTGTGTGTGCTTACGCGTACGCGCACGCATATATTCTACATTTTATAAAATTATTCAACAGAAAAAAATTTATAATTTTGAGTTCAATGTTAAATTACTTAAATAACTAAAAGTTTTTAAAACTACCTCTTTTACAAAAAAGAATAATTTCTATAATTTTAAAAAATGAAACAAAAAATAATAATTATAAAATTTCCAGCAAAATAAGTAATCTATCCTTTGCAAAAATTTATAGTTATAATATTAAATATACTCATATCTACAGTTATAATATTCAATATTAATTATACAGCATTAATAATTTAACAAAAGTTAAAAAATATTCTCAATTTATATATAACACAAGATATCTGATACGCATTATTTCATTGATATTTTTCTTAAATTGCATATATTACGCAAAAATATTAAGCCCCCAATTTTCCATAGCACTAGATTTATATTCCGGAAGTGCTACGAGATCCATTTTTGGAACCTTATAGGTGCTGTTGGTATATTCTGTCAATAGCCTTTTAGATTTTTGAACAACTTCTTGTGCAAATTTGGTATCCGGCACTAATTTCGATCTGCACCATATATTAATGGTTTCATCCTTAGTAGGAACGCGAACATAATCGGCCACTAATACAAACGCTACGAGATAGGTAGACATGATGGGAGTCGTATCAAAGTGCGTCCATATCATGCCGTCTTCGTCATAATCTTCCGATTGTTCTCGTATTGGCATATTTGATAGAGCCGTGTAATTTCGATGATGTTTTATGGAGATATCGAAAGTAGCTTTTAATGCCGGCTCGTCCCAACATGGGAACGCTCGTCGCGCATAAGTCGGTTCGAAATACGTTGCAGCTAACCACCTGCCACATTTCAATGATATGCTTTTGATTATGATAAATTTTCTGTTGTCATGAATGAAGATGAATGAAATACATAAATATAGAAACGCATAAAATGTGATTCATGCTCGAACAATAGTAAATAACATTTTTGTAGACACTATATATTATATAGACATTATATATTATATAAAGTAATGAAATTTATTAAAATGCATACATTTCTTCAAAAATCTGTTAATCTTATTTTATTATATTGCATTAAATATAATTATGCGTTATTAAACATAATTATACAGACAAACTTCTCGAAAATTTTCATAAAACAGTTTATAATAAAAAAAGAATTAGGCAAAATTTTATTCCGGAATTTTCCAAAAAATACGAAATATGAGAAAACATACTAGTACATTAACAGGAATATATAATATTATATAGACAAATATTTAAAATATTGCACATGTATATGCAATTATCAAATTACGATATTAAACAATTTTATACTAAATCATATATATTATATGACAGTTAAAAAGATCTTAGTATATTATAGCGATATATGATGATGACAGAAATAATAAATAAATAATAATAATAAATAATATTAAAAAAATACACATGGCATTCGAAAGAAACGTTTCAGATGTTAATATTTATACTTACACATTATTTCCTTTCTCATTGATATAAGATGAGATGAAAAAGCCTTTCAAATCCTTATGTAGAATACCAACATATCGCATTTTCAAAGTATAATTTCCAGGTAATAGTTTATCATTAAAATTAAGAACTAAGATTTGTGTTATATTGTCATAATTATGTGTTGCCAATGTATAAACAGTACCATTGTTATCGAACAATGATATTACTGCTTCGTTTATTATCAATTTCAATGTGTGCAAACTCAAGTTTTGCGTTACGTGACGAATTGTGATATTAATATTGGATTCTCCTATAAAGACAAAATTATTTTCCTCAATATATGGCATTAGCTTAATATTGTAATGTATCGGAACTACATTGTCTGGTAAACGATAATTAATCGCCGAATTATTGTTTGAATCCTTGTCAACAGAAACCATATCATTGTTTGAAGCTTTGTCAATAGGAAAAATCGCTTTAGCAATAAATATTAGGCCAAGATTTATTAACAATTTCAAAATAGCCATGTCAATCAAGTCGCTTTCAAACATCTGCACAAATATTTTTGGAAGGAGAATAATATAATAATATAATACAAACTGTAATTTTGAATTTATATTTTATGAGTTAGAGATTTTAGCATATTATAACTGTGATAAAGACAAAAAATAGATAATAATAAAATAATAAAATATTAAAATAGATAATGATAAAAAATAATAAATGAAGAAATAATATATATTAGATAGGTATTAAAAAGGACTTTCAAATTTTATTATCTACTTACATAACTGATTATTATATTATTTACGAGATGAAATTCACACTGTGAATTAATATCTTTTATTAAATGGTATTCTCTAATAGGTTGGATGGCTTAAGATATCGTCCGTTAATGTTGATGATCTCGAGGAAATTGAAGCCGTGTGCTGTTTGAAGTCACGGGGAAGGTTTATTATTTTCGATCAAAGTTATATTTCGAACAAAGTTACACGTCATCGTTAAATATATTTATGTTGTTGTCTTCGCTTCGTTTTCAACTTTGTAATTTAAAACGGGATCAAATACACAATCGAAAAGTGTAACTGAAATATTAATATAATTATATGAAGCATGCGTTATCTCGAAATTTGATTCTTTATACATATTGAATAAATGCACTATATCCTCCCGAATATAATACATATGCAATGTACATGTGCCAAATCTTGTGGAATTGGTGTCAGACATGTTTTTTCAACATTTTGAACAATAAAACAAAATTAATTTTGTTGATCTTATAGTAAATATCAAAGCTAATTTAATTCGAAGGTTTCGACATTCGAAGATTTGAAACTTTGGTATTGAAATCCTCGAAGATCGAAATTTCGAAACTTCGAAGATTATCTTATCGCAATAAATATACATTTATAAAATTGTATGATAAAATCTAAAAAACATTGCAATCGTGTTGCCAAATTGAAAAATATGATTAAAATAAAAAAACTTTTGATTTTCAATCATTTTTAATAATATTTTACTAATATACTTTCTAAATAATATATGTACATATATTAATTAATTCACTTTTATTTACAATATTTTCAATATTTCTTATATAAATTTACAAGAATTTTTAAAACATCGAAAAACTATCTCAAACTTTGAAATTGTCAAAAATAATAGCTGTAGTAAATCAAAATTTGAAATTTATTTTTAATATTTCCCTTTTTCTTTCCTGAAACGTAGGCAAGAAAAAAATGAACTTGTCTTTCGGCAAGCGAAACAGTGAATTGAATAAATTTTAATTTTAAAAATTAATTAAAAATTGACCAATAAAAGCTAGTAAAGTATTCGTGTTTAATACATGTATTATAATGATCAAACATAAAATTTTAAATATACTAATAACTAAAAGAAAAAGGATAATTTTTTTAGCTTCCTTGCGCTCCAATTATCACGACTTATTGGCTCTTACTTGTCAATTTTTAATTTTTTAATTATTATTATTTTATTTATGAATTTTTATTTTAATTTTTAATTTTATGTGAAACTGAGACACATAATTATCAGCATCTGGCTCTTATCGCCCGCAAAAATTCAATTTTGTGTTTTCACATATAAAGTTTTATTAATCTCTTGTTAACATTAAATTCATTCGAAATAATTTTTTGAAAACAGTTGCAATAGTGTCATAGTAATTGCCACAGTAATTTCCAAGTAAATATAAGACTATACAAGATTTGCAAGGTTGAGAGCTAACAATAAATTAAGATCACATGAATTAATAAATTTGGTTTATACAATATGGTTTATTATATATAAGAGATCAATAAAAGTATATTTACAGTATTCTATACATTGACTTGTATATATATATATATCAAATGATATCAATTAATATTAAATCTTATTCATTCATACAAAATAACTTTTTATTTCGCAAATAAAATTCTAACAGCTATTATTGTCGTATTTGTTAGCAGAATGATTCAGCACGTGTTATGTCGAGTTACTTAAAAAATATATATTTTTCATTGAATATATTACATTTAACAATTCATATATATACACAATACATATGCCAAGTAACAATTAATAACAATTCACAATTCATTTATATTGAACAATTCATATATATATATATATATATATATATATATATATATATATATATATAAGTAATGATTCAATTTACTTATTATTTTACATGTTGTGAGATCTATATTGCACATGTAATATAAAACATAATTTGAATAAAAGACAAAAGAAATAAAATTATGCAGAATAAAGTTGAAGAGGTATTAGTGTAAGGAACGTAAAAAATATCTTATAACTTATTCTCAATTTAAAAAAAACGAGAAGGATTCTAATAAAGTTTAAAATTAATATCAGAAATAAATAAACGTATGTGTCCATCTTGCAATTGTTATAATTAATTATTAATTATTTTATAATTTTAACTTCTGTTTTATATTAGGTGGTAGAATTGAGCTATATACGTTCAACCGTTCTTTGCGTTTTATTATTTTGTCTTGAACATCTTTGAATATTTCTTCAAATTCATTTCTGACAAATTCGCTTATCTGAAAATGAATTATATTTATGTTTATTATAAATTTAAGAGCATTCTATCGAAAATATTTAAAATCTATAATTTTTGATAAGAAGAAAGATAAATAAACTTAAATATAAATAAATAAAAATATAAAATTTAAAATAATAAAATTTACCTCGTCAAGTTTTTTTTTAGAATACACATTGTTAATTATATCATGTAATGCATTATTTACATTGTATGCATTATTTTCATATCTGCAAAAAATTAAAAAAATTATAATAAATAAATACAAAAAACAATATGTGCTTATAATTAATATAAAATATATTATTAAAATACCTTGAGATTACTTTTTTTAAATTTGTTAATATATAATCAATTACTACGTTATTTTTAGCATGTTTCTTGATAATAGAAGTATAAATCACATAGTAATCTTCAATTTGTATTATTGAATTGTTCGATATAGATATTTTTAGCAAATTAATTATAATGTAAGGATTTTCAGAGCAAACCAAGTACGTCAAAGCCTTTTCATCCAATTTATTTATGTATATATTGAATACCTTATTCCAAGTAAAAGCTTTTGCTTCCATCAAGCCATTACAATACATCCATTCTTTTAAATCTGGCGAAACTCTATAACACATTATAAAAAACTTATATGTGTGTATAATTACATATATATATATATATATATATATATATATATATATATATATGAGCGGATATCTATATAAAATCCTAATAATTTATTTAAATAATTTATGTCATATGTATATTCATATTAATTTATTAGGACAAATTGAAACTTAATGAATAGAATAAAATTACTTATATGTTTTAGGATCTGCGAAATGTTTATTCAGTTCAATAGTGGCCATTCTCTTGCATTCGGAATGACCTAGAGTGCATGCCCATTTTAAAGTTTCGGTTCTTTGAAGTTTCGTAAGCTCATCATCAGTAGGATCTTCTTCATACCCTATGTTCTTAATAAATCCATCCAAAATTTCGAGCATGCGTGACTACAAAAATCATAGAATAATATAAATTTTACATCAGTTTGATATGAACATTTGTTTTATGGGTTAGATGCACGTGTACATATACACATACACACACGCACGCGTGCACATATATTTCTCCATTTTAAGTGATTATATTATTATTTACTTTGAGGAATTCATTTTCTGGAACTTTCAATATATCTTCTGAAAATCTTAACACTTGAAATATAGAGTACCATGGTATAAAATCTATTTCCTCAGATAGATAGTCAATAAGATTCAAAAACATCATGATATCATGTTCGCCCAATATCATAAAGAAAAAAGCGTCATCGATGATTTGAGCACGATTGAGTGGATGAATTTTTGTATAATTGTCAGACTGGAGATAATTCATAATTTTTTGCCAATTTGAAGAATCATAATTGACACGATAGTATCCTTTAAAATTAAATAAAAATAGTAAATTACATTACGTTAAGATTTGTTAAACAATTTAATAAAAAATTAAATTAAATTAACATATACATATACATCATAGTTTTTTCTTATTTCAACATTTATTACATTTATATGTATCTGTTGAAAATTTATATTATATATAAATTAAAACTGAAAATATTATAAAAAATGTATAAGCCTAAAAATAAAAATCTATAGAAAATAAATAAATATAAAAATGCTAATTGTGATATATTATTATTAATTATAAAATAAATCATTATTGATCTTAAAAATGATTGCATTTTAACATTTTAACATGATTATTGGTCTTAAAAAGGATTCCTTTTTTATATTTAAATTAAATTAATATCGAATATATCAAAAATACTCACCCATTTGTTGTATATTGACAATAATCCAATCATTTGGATCAATTCCATCAATCGTTATATATTGATCTTGCGGTTTTAGCCAATGAGTGGGTAAAGTATTAGAAAAATCAGGATTTGTTTGCGTAACGAAAGTCAAAGGTATCCACCATTTATTATCACTGATGTTCTTATTTTCATTTTGAAGGAAATGTTCTTGCGTTATTATTATCTTATTGTTGTCACTGTTTCGAGTCACATGTACTACAGGATAATCCGATTGTTTTATCCAAGTATCCATTATCTCCTTCAATTTATAAGTATTATACGGGGCATCTGATTTATCTAGGACTGCTTGCAAAGCGTTCCATAAGTCATCTGAAGTAGCTGAATTGAACTGGCTAAATTGTAAAACATAGAAGATATATTTATTAAGAGAATTATAATGCAATAAGTCATACAAGCATAAATAAATGCAATCAATTGTCGAATGTTACACTAAAGCATTCAAAATATAATAATGATTTATTTTTTTTATTCTGAGAAAGATTAGAATAAAGTTTTGTAAAATTCTCAGGAATTATCTGCAATGGTTATACTTATTTTTATCATCTCAATCCTTTTTAACATTTTAAAAGTTATTGATTTAATAATAAAATTTTTAATATTTTTTTATAATGATTAAATTGTTGCATTGTTCAGTGAAAAATGTAAAAGTAGTTCGTTGAAATATTTATTATTCAAAATTGTTCATTTAGAAATGTAAAAAGTTTTAGCTATATAGTATTTTATTGGTAGAATTATTATCTGAGCAATTTAATTTGAGCAATAAAAAGTTTAAACTTTTTGCTTTTAAATTAAATTACTATTACACTGAATAATTCATTAAGATTTACACAAAAAAATAAATATGTTACTTACTGAGTGTGTAAATATTTAATAAGACCACTTTGAAATATTTCATTGGTAATTATATGTTGTAACATCCGCAATATAGCAGGTGCTGCAATAAATAATAAATAAAAAAACACAAAAACTAATGTATAATAAAATAAAATATCATCTATAAATTTGTGAACATAACTGATAAAAGAGATTAATCATTGTGATAAACACATTTTAATAAAATAAAAAATTCTTTTTATTGTTTCTTCTTTTTCTTCATCTATGTTCGAAAACTTGAGGATAATGACTTATTTATTCTACCTTACCCTTGCGATAAATGGAGCCAGAGAAGAGTGATTCAATTTCTTCGAGTGTATTGACTTCTAATGTAATTGGGTTCATAAGCATACCAATATCCGAATAAAGAATTTCTCGTTGAATATTAACAACAAAATATTCCGTTATGCGCCAATCTTCGAAAATCTAAAATATACACAAGTTTTCATTTCATCCAATTAAAATTTATTAAAATTAAAAATAAAATTTAATATTATAAATTAATAATAGAAAGTCAATTATGATTTGTAATAATATTGGCATGTAATACATTTGTAAACACAACTAGTTTTTAGAGAAACAGTGTAAAAATCTTAAGTAATTATGATCTAAAATTATAAGCGATACATTTCTTTTTTTCATATAGAAAATCATGAATGATTCATCCGTATTATATTACATTAAATTTAATAGAAATATTTTTTTGAATACTCACCTACATGTAAACAAAACTTGCAATAATATCTATATTTTTACTTACCTCATTAAAAATATATATTTCAAAGAACGACGAAAATCCCTCACTTAACCATAGATGAGACCACCATAATGGAGTGACTATATTACCAATCCATTGATGCGCCATTCCATGTATTATTGTCCCCGCTACTTCTAGTTTAGTAAATACCGTATCGAGATTTTCATTGTATGTAAGTTTTCTTTCACTAAAAATTATTATATAAATGTAATTATGTTTATTTCAATATACTTTATAATTATGTAATCTAATATAAAACATTTTACTTTAAATAATTATAAATGTCAAAGTATATACATAATTATTTAAAAATTAATAATTTTTATATTAAAAAAAATATATATATATATATATATATATATATATATATATATGATTTACATTTTCAAATTATATTTTTTTCAACTTTTGTATGGTCCAATATATAATTTAATTATATTTTTATTCTCTTTTGTGTGTGTGCGCGCGTACATCCATATACTCTACATTTTATAAAATTATTCAACAGAAAAAATTTATAATTTTGTGTTCAATCTTAAATTACTTAAATAACCAAAATTTTTTAAGACTACCTTTTTTACAAAAAAAAATTTCTATAGTTTTAAAAAATGAAACAAAAAACAATAATTATAAAATTTTCAATAAAATAAATAATCTACTCTTTCGTAATAATCTATAGTTATAATATTTAATATTATTTATGCAGAATTAATAATTTGACAAAAATTGAAAAAAATTTTCAATTTATATGATACAAGATATCTGATACGCATTGTTCTATTGATAATTTTTTTAAATCGCATATATTACAGAAAAGTAATGAGTCCCCAATTGTTCATGGCACCAGATATGAATTGCGGGAGTGCTACGAGATCCATTTTTGGAACCTTATAAATGCTGTTGGTATATTCTGTCAATAGCCTTTTAGATTTTTGAACAACTTCTTGTGCAAATTTGGTATCGGGCACTAATTTCGATCTGCACCATATATTAATGGTTTCATCCTTAGTAGGAACGCGAACATAATCGGCCACTAATACAAACGCTACGAGATAGGTAGATATTATGGGAGTCGTATCAAAGTGCGTCCATATCATGCCGTCTTCGTTATAATCTTTCGATTGTTCTCGTATTGGCATATTTGATAGAGCCGTGTAATTTCGATGATGTTTTATGGAGATATCGAAAGTAGCTTTTAATGCCGGTTCGTCCCAACATGGGAATGCTCGTCGCGCATAAGTCGGTTCGAAATACGTTGCAGCTAACCACCTGCCACAATTCAATGATATGCTTTTGATTATGATAAATTTTCTGTTGTCATGAATGAGGATGAATGAAATATATAAATATGGAAACGCATAAAATGTGATTCATGATTCACGCTCGAACAATAGTAAATAACATTTTTGTAAAGTCTAGACACTGTACTATATAAAGTAATGAAATTTATCAAAATACATACATTTCTTTACAAATCTGTTAATCTTATTTTATTATATTGCATTAAATATAATTATGCGTTATTAAACATAATTATACAGACAAACTTCTCGAAAATTTTCATAAAACAGTTTATAATAAAAAAAGAATTAGGCAAAATTTTATTCCGGAATTTTCCAAAAAATATGAAATATAAGAAAACATATTAGTACATTATCAGAAATACATAATATTATGTAGACAAATATTTAAAATATTGCAAACATATATGCAATTCTCAAATTGCGATCTTAAGCAATTTCATATTAAATCATACATATTATATGACAGTTAAAAGATCTTAGCATATTATAGCGATATATGATGATGACAGAAGTAACAAATAAATAATAATAAATAATATTCAAAAAATACACATGGCATCCGAAAGAAACGTTTCAGATATTAATATTTATACTTACATATTATTTCCTTTCTCGTTGGTATAAGATGAGATGAAAAAGCCTTTCAAATCCTTATGTAGAATACCAACATATCGCATTTTCAAAGTATAATTTCCAGGTAATAGTTTATTATTAAAATTAAGAACTAAGATTTGTGTTATATTGTCATAATTATGTGTTGCCAATGTATAAACAGTACCATTGTTGTCGAACAATGATATCACCGTTTTGTTTATTATCAATTCCAATGCGTGTAAACTCAAGTTTTGCGTTACATGACGAATTGTGATATTAACATTGGATTCTCCTATAAAAACAAAATTATTTTCCTCAATATGTGGCATTAGCTTAATATTGTAATGTATCGGAACTACGTTGTCTGGTAAACGATAATTAATCGCCGAATTATTGTTTGAATCTTCGTCAACTTTCTGAACTGAATCATTGCTTGAATCCTTGTTAGTAGGAATCGCCATAACAGTAAATATTAGGCCAAGATTTATTAACAATTTCAAAATAGCCATGTCGTGTCGCTGTTAAAAATCTGCACAAATATTTTTAGAAGAAGAATAATATAATAATATAATACAAACTGTAATTTTGAATTTATATTTTATATGAGTTACAGATTTTAGCATATTATAACTATGAAGGTAAAATATATGAAATAGATAATAACAAAATAGATAATAATAATAAATAATAAATAAAGATATAATACATAGATACATATTAATTATTAGATTATTAATTATTATTATTAGATTATCATTATTAGATTATTAATTATTAATTATTAGATACATATTAAAAAGAATTCAAATTTTATTGTCTACTTACATAACCGATTGCTATTCTTATTTACGAGATGGAACACTGTGAACTAATATCTTTTATTATTTCGTATTCTCTAATCTGGATGTTTCAAGATATCGTCCGTTAAAGTTGGCGAACCCAAGGAAACTAAGCTGTTTGCTGTTTGAAGTCACGGGGAAGGTCTATTATTTTCGACTTCAGTAAAGTTACATGTCATCATATGTATACATGTCATCATATGTATACATGTTGAGTATATTTATAAAGTATATGTTGTTGTTTTCGCTTCGTTTTCAATTTTGTAGTTTAAAACGAGGGATCAAATAGACAGTCAAAAAATAATTGAAATTTTAATATATTACAATTATATGAGGTATGTAATGCGTTCTCTCTTGAGTTGATTCTTTATATACGTATTGAATAAATGTCTATATCCGCCCGAATATAATGCATATGCAATATACATATGCGAATCCTCGTGAGATCGATATGTCAGACATATGTTTTTTCAAAATTTTGAAACAAAATAAATTTTTTTATAGTCTTATAAGTATGAAGACTGATGATTTAGTTCGAAGGCTTTGATATTCGAAAATTCGAATCCTCGGATATTATCTTATCACGATAAATATACATTTATAAAAATATAAAATCTGAAACGTTGCAATTATGTTGCCAAGAAAAATATGACTAAAAATTTTGATTTTCAATAAGTTTGAATAATTTATTTTTCAAATAATTTTTTATGTATATATATTAATTATATATTATTATATATTATTATATAATTATATATTATATATTATTATATATTATTATATATTATATATTATATATTATTATATATATATTAATTATATATTATTATATATATATTAATTATATATTATATATTATTTTCTCTTTTATTTATAATATTTTCAACATTCTCATATGAATTTGCAAAATTATATTTTTCAAAGCTTCGAAGGTTCGAAGTTAACATCGAAATTCGAAGCTTCGAATCTTTGTCAAAAGTAAGAGCCCTAGTCCACATAATTCTCCTCGACGAGTCCGTGTCAGACATTCGATCGATTCCACATTCGCAAACACTATTTTCGATCTTGTTAGCGAGAGAAAAAAACGCGCGGTCGCTGAAAAATGAAGAGATTTCCATGTAAATTTATTCCACGCGTTTTTGAAAAAATCTCGACGCGACATCATCCCATCGTTACTTTCGTTATAATATTTGTACGCATTAATCTGCTATATTCGTTGCAGATTCGACAAAGATAAAAGCGGAACTACTCGTATACGAATAATTCGAATGTTTTTTTCGCGCCGTATCGCGCCGATTGATTAAAACCGAAATCAAAATAAAGGTATAGAAAATCAAAAGGGAAAAGGACTGGAAATGGAATGAAATGCTCAGCAACAGAGAACGCACTCGTCGCTGTATGCTGTACGTGCGGAAAAATCAGATCTCGTTCGGCGGTGGTTTAATGCTCGGTGCAAGAAAAAAAAAGGATCGGGAACAGGCTGCGGAAAAGCGGGAGAAAAGTAATAACGTACTTGGAGAGAGCTCGTTGTCCCATGGGTTGCTAATGGCGTCGACGTAGAGTGCCGCTAGCAACGTAGTACGTATGATTCCGAGTGATTGTGAGTGCAAATGCCGATTATGTCGCCCGGTTGAACAGCTTGCTCTCTCAACCACAGCGCGCATTTCACGCTTTTCTCCGTCATTTTCGCGAAAGTGGTCTTTGTGCCGATAACCGCCTCCACCAACACACACATCATTGATCGAACGAGGAGCAGGGGGAAAGGGGTAGCGGGTTAAGAGGCGAATCTACGTTAGCGGAATTTACGTTAAAGTCGATCCGATGGCGCGTCTATTGACACTCTCTTCATAGAAATAGTCTATATCTATTTACTTGCGCGACGAATTCTAGTTTGCTCCGCAGCTTTTCCAACTCTCAATGCTCCGTTCGTGAATCGGTACTTCCTTGCCGATCAATATGTTGTCTTCTATTTTAAACGTCAGATCATCCTGAAAGTCTGTATTGCAAGTGCAATTATTTGATAACCATGAATTGAAAATTTAAGCGTCGAAGATGACAAATTACAATGCGGTATAAAAGAATCTATGCAGCAGACATTCGACTCATTTTTCTGTAGTATTTAAATAGTATTTAAATGTTAATTCTGATAGAGACAGAAAAAAGACGAGGACACTTGGATATATACTTTTCAAGTCTTGAATAAAAAGATTTTAAACTTGAATTTAATGTCATAAATAGCGCTAACGATACAGACTTCCAATAATAATTCTTGACATTTATTGTATCTGTACCTTTTCAATGAATCTTAAAGTTTATCATCGTAAAAATGCACTTTCTCTCTCTCTCTCTCTCTCTCTCTCTCTCTCTCTCTCTCTCTCTCGATACTGCACTTAATACTCGATATTTTAACGAGTGAGTCGTGTAAGACTAAAACGAGTGCACATCTTTCATTATCTTATTCTCGGCTTAATTTTAATTCTTGCATTATTGATATTATTACGACAATAATTTATTTAAACAATATTATAAAATGCAATAATGCATCAAAGTGCATTGTGATTTTCACGCAGATGGAAGGGATAAATGATCTCGTGGCGAACGGTGAATATATCAACGTTTCCTCGGAAATTTGTTTTTACGATGGAAATTATCAAGAGATCCATTAGGAAAAAAACCCACCACTCGCAAACGCGTTGCGAAACAATGCTGTCATGATGTACCGAGAAAAGACAAATATTTGTATGCAAACTCGGATGCGCAAGTCCCGTCCACGAATGTTTCTCTTTTTCTGTTGAGTAATTCCGAGTCTTTCTGAACAAAAACCACTGATTTAATGCAGCGATCCGATTTTATTCTAACAAAATGTAAAAGAAAATACTTTTATATTGAAAAAATATTGAATTGTAGGCAAGAGAAAAGCGGAACACGCAATAAACATTTGTTTGAAAAAAATTCTATATTAAAGAAGAATATCTATACACGCATCTATAGCTTCGTATCTGAATAACTGGTTTGTCCATAACAATAATAATGATTCTAACTTGTGTCTGAGCAACTTGTCAACAAGATATCGATTGAAATAATAGTGAATAAAAGTTGTAAATCTAATTTGAGCTCTTAGCATTATATCAATTACAAATATTTAAAAAAATAGTGAGTATCTTATAAATAGTAACTAGAAAGAAATATAGATAATAATTAGAAAGAATATAGATTTTTTTTTTAATTTTATATAGTTTTAATTTTAAAAAATTTAGGAACAAAATTCACAAGAATTTTAAAATGCATTTAATTAACCTTTTCGTACCTTCGAGACTATATGTCTCATCTACGAAAAAAATCATAACTTTTAAACAAATAATCCTATCTACTTTTACCTTGGCTTGTTTTAAAGAAGAAGGTTCAAGCTACATGTAAAAATATCGCGCAGTTTGAAATGTAATGTTTACAATAAAATATAATTATTTAAACTTTGCAAAAAATTAAACTTTTAGAGAATGAAGATTAACTGTATATTAATCGAAGATTACTGTATATTAATCAAAAAATCATTTAAAAAGAATTTATGCGCTAATTATAAACTTAAAGTTTTATTTAAATGTGATTACAACTTTATTACGATAAACATTATAATATTTTATGTTATGTGTAATCAAAGTAGAATGATGCGTGCGACGACCATCCAAATCTCGCAGCAGATGCGCGGCTTGCAAAAAAAAGTGTATAACAACGCTACGAATCGAACGTGTGTATGCATATTCAGGAAAAAACATAATATAAATTTTAAAAAATAAAATTTCTAGAGCTAAGCTCATATTTTAAATATATTGATATTTAATCCTTTTATAGTCGCCATCTTGAATTTAAATTTTGATGGTAAATTTGGAATCAGCACCCCCATAAACCTATAAAACTGTTTTCATATGAAACACCTCTCTTTTGAGAAAGCTGGAGGTACAAAAGGATTCATTAAAATTTTAATAACAATCATGATTATATTTAGTGCAGATATAATATTCTTAAATATTATATTTTTATTCATATTTTTTATGTAATTATAGTATTTACGTTTCTCTCTCTCCTTAACTCGGCATAGTTTATTATTGCATTAAGCGGCGTTAAAGGGCTAATTGGATAGCGTTGGTCGTCGGTCCTAAGTTCTAACCAATTTATGAATGCGGCAACGTGACATGAGAGTGCACTATGCGGCTGTCGACTCAAGGTGATGGGAATGTTCCTGTTTCTCGAACTTTACTTTAGCATCGACAATCTCGAATGCTCTCGCTTTATCCAGCCGCTGTCCTTTCGGCAATTCTCGTCCATCTATTCTACATTCGCGGCATTATCGTTAATCTTTAAACTATCCGCATTTCAACGATAATCTCGAGATTATCGTCAAAAATTTTCTTGCTTACGTATTTGAAGATGTTCGCGTTCAAAACGTAACAAAATTATGCCACCGCCAACATAAGATGAAAATAACATCAATGAAACGAAAATTTAATTAAATCTCGACAAATATTAAACGAAAAATTCTCTTATCGGAATATATTCTTATCGATTGATTAATAAATGCACTGCAACTTTTACACAACAGAATAAATACAACGTTTCAAATCTCTAGATTTTTATATCGTGCGCTTTCGCGTATTTTTGTTTTATTATGAAATCGATTTTCGATCGATATGAATCAATCGATTTATTGATGAGAGGAATTAAAATTTTGCATCGACGCGTCACCAATATAAAAAAAATCTAACAAGCATCGAGAAATTCTACGCTCGCAACGATACAACGCTTTCATCGTATCATGGCTCATGTTCGATCAAACAACCTGAGATTCTACTTGACTGATCTTTATCTTCCTCTCGTTATATGTCACAGGAAGTTTCGTGCTTGAGCAACAGAGAGCTTAAGTTTATATCATATAACGTTATATATTACGATAGCAGATAATGATGTTTAACGAGCAATTTTTACAAGAAATTTACGTAAAAATTTTACATAATATATACTTTAACTATGCACTCACACACATACCAAATAATTGATTTGGATCGTAATATTTTTGAATATTGTTGTTATTAATTATATTCGGACATTTTTGAGAAAATTAACTAGCTATTACGATCA